AATCAGAGAAAAAATGTTTATCAACAGAAAAATAGAACGAGAGACACTGGACTAAACCTCCAATGAGGATATTGAGACTAAACTGCAAGCCCAACATTTCTGACAAATTGACTCAAAACACTTAAGAAATGTATATTAGTTTTCTTTTGCTGCCATAACAAATTACCACCAGCTCTATGGCTTAAAATAGCATGAGTAGTACCCATTTATTAACACACAGTTCTGTAGGTCATAGTCTGTGTTGGCTCAAGTGATTTCTTAGATGTTGCAAAAGGTCAAAATCAAAATATCAGACAGCTGTTAGTTATCTGGAGACTCTGGGGGAAATCTTCTTCCAAACTTCTTTGAGGTTATTGGCCAAATTCAGTCCTTGTGTTTTTAGGACTGAGGGTCCCATATTCTTGCTGACAGCCAGACAGTGTTACCTTTAGTTCTAAAAGCCCTCTCCCAAGTATTTCATCTGGGTCCCTATGTCTCAGATCCAGCAATAGTGCTTTGCACTGAATTCTTCTCAGGCTTGGATTCTTTCTGACTTCCCTTCTGCTGCAGCTCTTTTCTGCTTCCAGCTGGAGTAAATTCTCTAATTTTCAGGATTCATTTGATGGGATTGGGCCCACTTGAATAACTTAAGATAAGCTCCCCATCTAAAGATCCATAACTTTGTTATATCTACAAAGTCCCTTTTGCCACGTAATGTAACATATTTACAGGATCCCGGGTATTAGGGATAGACATCTTTGGGCAGCCATTCGGCCTACCACAAAGGGAAAAAGTTCAAACAGTTAACACAATACTGAAAAAGAAAATGAAGGAGGACTTGTCCAACCAAAATCAAGACTTAATATAAAGCAGTATACATTAAAACCATTTGGTATAGACACAAGATGGAAAACTATATCACTGAAATAAATAGAAAGCCTTACAATATTCAGAAACTTGCTATATGACAGAGGTGGCATTACAAATCAGGAAGGAGATGGCCAATTCAATATTGCCCATAAATTCCTTATATAAAATACACATACACACATATACACATATGCATATGAGTAAAGTTGTGAAAAGCAAATTCTTGAAATATTTAGAAGAAAATATGATGTAAGAATAGGAAAATTGGAACACAAAAACCAGAAACTATAAAGAAAAAGATTGATAAATTTCATCACAGTAAAAATTTTAGAAATTTAAACTGTATTATAAGAGAGATCATAGACGAAAAAAAATTTTTTTGAGTTGTAGTCTCGCGCTGTCACCCAGGCTAGAGTGCAGTGGCACACTGCTCACAGCCACCACAGCCTCGACCTACTGGGCTTAGGCTATCCTTCTGCCTCAGCCTTCCAAGTAGCTGGAACTACAGGCATACACCACCATGCACAGCTAATTTTTTTAATTTATTGTAGAGACAAGGTCTCTCCATATTGCTCAGGCTGGTCACGAACCTGTGGGCTCAGGTAGTTCTCCTTCCTCAGCCTCCCAAAGTTCTAGGATTACAGGCGTGAGTCACCGTGCCTGGCTGACATTTTTTTTTAAAAGCTTTCTTCTTGCCAAGAATATCTGCATATATTTAAATACTATACTATGTATACTATAAATCAGTTATAAAAATGCAAAACAAGTTGATAGAAAAGTGAACCAAGCCGGGCTCGGTGGCTCAGCCTATAATCCCATGCTTTGGGTGGCTGAGGTGAGTGGATTGCCTGAGCCCGTGGATTCAAGACCCACCTGGGCAACTTGGCGAGACCTCATCTCTACAATAAATCAAAAAATTAGCCGGGCATGGTAGCACGCTCCTGTCGTCCCAGCTACTTGGAAGGCTGAGGCGGAAGGATAGCTGGAGCCCAGCAGGTCAAGGCTGCGGTGGCCAGGAGCGGCCACTGCACTCCAGTCTGGGCGACAGAGTGAGACTCCAACTCAAAAAAAAAAAAAAAAAATGGAAAAGAAAAGTGAACCAAAATGATATGAACAGGCAATTCATAGAAAAGAAAAACTGAGTGAGCAATAAGTAGCTTATTTACCCTACAATCAGGAAAAACAAATGAGCAGTGAGATTCCATTTTATATCCATGATAATGAAAAAAATTAGGAAGCCTGAAAACTTGAAGTGCTGATATGGATATGGGTAACACAAAGGGAAGAGAATTGGTGTAGACAGTATACGAGGCATGCAGCAGCAGGAAATCTGCTCTAGCAAGGAATTCTTTATGGCTGCAGTTTGAGCATGAGGCAGGAAATAGAGAAAGAGATCTGAGCGGCCAGCAGATTACGTGGAGCTTTGTTTCCATGCTGTGAAGTTTTTGTTTTCTCTGGAAGGAAATGGTAAGGCTTGAAGGATTTTAGCAGGCAAGTGGCAATGTCAGATTTGAATTGTACAAAGATTTCTTGGGAAGCAGAGTGGAGAATGCTTAGGAGGGAACAAGACTGGAGAAACCAGTTAGGATGTCACTACAATGTGACACAGAGATAATGAGAGTGTAGTAAAAAGTAATGGAAGTTTTAGGCTTGGCCAACAGGGTAAACGATGCAATTCACTGGGATAGTTTCCCAACTGGAAGAGGAAATTTACAACAAGCCAAAATGATGACTTCAGAGGTACCTTTGGGGTCTTGTGGTTAGTTGTTTCTATGGATGTGAAGTTCAGCAGGAAAGTCTAGGCAAGAGATTTAGCATTAGCTGTCATCCGTGTAGTGATGGTTACTGATGCCCTGTTTGTGTACAACACATACAATAGAGTGTGTCAGGAGTAAAAAAGAACTAAGAACAGAATCCCAGGATTGACGTCTGAGAGATGGGTGAAGGAAGAGACATCTGAAAAGGTAGCTGAATAGGAGCAACCAGACAGATAGACACAAAATAGTGGACTTCAGAAAACAAGGGATGGAGTTTCCAAAAAGAGGAAATATCTTGCAGAGGCAAATATAGCAGAAACATAAAGACAAAGACTGAACAGGTGCCACTCAATTTACCATCCACGAAGGGCATTGGCCGTGTGGGTCTCTAGTAGAAGTAGGCAGTTGTGGGTTGAAGAGTGAATGAGAGGTGATGGATTAGTAACATAACCTTTCCAAAAGCTGGGTTGTAATGGCAATATGAATTATAAGCTAGAGGAAGACTGTGATTTTGTTTAAGGTGGTAGCCCTTGGAGGATATGTACCTATCGGGGGGGGAAAGGCAGTCCAGAGAGAGAGGTTGGGGGTAAAGGAAAAAGGAAGGACAGAGAGTGGACTGAGCTGCTAAAGCAGCAGGAGGAAGTGGAGATCAGGGGCTTCACTGCAGATGGGAGAGGAGGCTCTTCCATTGAAACAGGCTGGGCTTCGACGGAGAAAAGATGGGTGTGGCTGTAGGTGACCCTGTTTCTAGGTGTGAACCCAGGCAATGCACTTGTCTCTGATGGCCATGTTTTCTTAGATCATTTGCTGATCTTAGTGAGATCATTCTTGGAGATATGGGGCAGTGATTTGAACACTGTTGGGGGACAGCAGTTGCTGACTCAGGTCATGAGGAAGATAACTTGCTGCCAATCACTCAGGGAAACACCAAGGGCCCAGGTGTGGTTGAGACCACTAATTTTTTTTTGGCAGTTGCAATCTGTGTGTGTGTGTGTGTGTGTGTGTGTGTGTGTGTGTGTGTGTGTGTGTGTGTGTGTAGTGCAGTGCTCAGTCACCATGGGTTGTGCAAGGTTTAAATAGGTTGAATGCTTGGATTAAAGCTATTTGAGATTTTTACTAGTCAAGTGAAACAGAAGGACAAGAGCTAACGTTTATTGAGTGACCTGGGACATAAGAATTAATCCTTCCAAACCTTGGTCTTCCCATCTATTAAATGGGACTGGAAATAGTATCTGCCTCACTGTGTTGCTGTGAGAATTAAATGAGATAATACGGTGTTCCTCATATTTTCTTAGCTGCGGCCTTTGATAAAAAACATGTGGAAATATTTCAATGCAAAATATATATATTTTGTGAGAATTAAATGCTACAGGTCCACAGTGTCTTCGCCAAAATATTTGGGGACTTAATGTATTTCCAAATTCAGAATTTTAGGAATTTTAGGAAAGGAACATGATGCCTAGAACTCATGTTACATACTACCTTGTAAGGAATTAGAGAAAGATCAACAATTAAACATTTTCACAGAAAAACATACAAATAGTCACACAGAGCATGAACAAAGACTATAAATAGCCTTACTTCAATTTTAAAACAGGTTTGGCTTCAAATGTGTTTTTGTTTTGTTTTGTTTTTTCAAAGATTTTTGTATTACAAAACTGAATCAGAAATTGTGAAAAGATAAATAAAAATAGTCATATAGAGATAGGGATAGACATAAATATATTAGACATATACTGTTTTTTAAGTGCCTAGTGCATAACTAGTGCTGCTTATTATTATCGGTAGAGAGATATCTTATTTTTAAGATGTTGGTCCTAAGCAACCAAAATGATTTTATGACCAACAAATAGGTGATGACGCATACACTGAAAAAAAACTGATATATAAATGATTAACCTGGTCCCTGGAACATATATAATAAGCTCTCAATGCAGGTTAAAAATACAATCTTATGTCTATATAATGTTTTTATTGTCAAAATTCTTTTAACCACATAGTTGCTACTTTTCTTCACATTCACTGTATCAGAAGTAAATGATTTAACTTATTGCTTTACCTACTTTTGAGAGTTTCATGTCTTAATGAATTTATGTTGAATGATAGAAAATTTAAGTAATTATAATTACACCTTCTGTGGCATTTATGCCTTGACACCTAAAGTACTTTGTAGGTTTTCTTTTTCTTAAGTGAAACAGATCTCTTGTTGCATAGATAAAGAAACAGAACTAAGTGTCTCAGTTTACAAAATATAATATTTCTATGTAGAACTTGTCCAATAGCATGTACAGATTAAGAACAACTTCTAAAGCACACTCATTATTCAGTTCCTAGAGTGAGCCAAAGACATTCCTATCTGAAGTCGCCTTATAATCTTTGTGTTTTATTTTCTAGTTCTCTTGGAGACATTAAAATAGCTGAAGTGAATACCAGGGGTTTGTTTGTAAAGCTTGTTAACACTTCCCTTGACAAAGAGCTGACAATTGGAGATCACATTCTCCAGCAAAATGTGAATGGACAAACAATTTCTTTGTACCGATTCCCTCCAAATATCATAATGCAGGCCAATTCCACAGTAAAAGTGAGTATAAGATGTCAATACTGTAAGCTAAAATCCATCTACACTGTTGACCTGTGGCTCAGTACCCATCTCACCATCACTCCATCTGAACAGAAAATGTGCTTTTGTTGTCGTTGTTGGTTAATTGTACCATTTTGTCCATTTACTGAATGTAAATTAATTCCCACAGTTAAATTTTCATAACTTTCTTCAGTTTGGTATATAATAGTTTGTTTTTATGATGTAACTATTAACATGAAATTCCTAAGACTAAGCAAACATCATTCTTAAAAGACAAGAAAACTGGGAGCAGTGGCTCACATCTGTAATCCCTGCAATTTGGGAAGACAATTGCTTGAGCCAAGGAGTTCGAGACCAACCTGGGCAACATAATGAGACCTCGTCTCTACAAAAAATAAAAAAATTAGTCAAGTGTGATGGCACGTGCCTGTAGTCTCATCTACTCCGGAGACTAAGACAGAAAAGATCACCTGAGCCCAGGGTTTGAAGGCTGCAGTGAGCCATGATTGTGCCACGGCACTCCAGCCTGAACAACAGAGTAAGACTTCAACTCAAAAAAAAAAAAAAAATGAAAGAAAAGGGGGGGAAAAAGGCAATCAGAGAGATTATTTGCTTAGAAGATAGGTAATTAGATGATGCTGGCGAGTTCTCCCCCATTGCTTGTGCTTTCCTTTAAGCTCTATGCTATTTGTGATACACAGATTGACAGTATGTATTATGCAGTCATTATATTTTAAAATCTCCTGTTCAGAAAGATTATGTTGCAATCTCCCTATGACATTTGCAAAATTGTATTGAACTCCGTCTTTAACAAATGATTTTCTCACAGGTGTGGGCAGCAGCATCTGAAGCCAAGCATCAGCCACCATCAGATTTTCTCTGGAAAGAACAAGACAAGTTTAGAACAAGTTCCGACTGTACAACAATCCTGTGCAAACCTAATGGTCAAGTCAGTTTCTGGTTCTTAACAATGATTTTTAATAGAATGGACAGCTCTCCTTATGTTCCTCATCCCTTTAGCTCGCTCAGTTGTTTTTTAATACTTAAATGCTTGGATAGAATCATCACTGAATGCCATATCACATCAGGCAAATCAACAGCACCCTCTTCCCAATGTCGAAGTGTCCAAGAGCTACTTACGTTGTGGCAAAAATAACTTTGATATCCCATATTTCTAAGAAGCTACTTCAAGAGCAGGTTTTATTTGTGATATTTAGAAGAGTAGCATCAGAAAGTACTACATACAGGCCTTTTCTATTCATTTATTCACTTCCCCAATATTTATCTAAATTCTCTATTCTTAGGACTATTCTAGATACTGGGAATATAACAGATTAAGATGTAGTATCTGCTCTTAAGGAAATAATATTCTTTTTGGAGGAGGGAGATAAATACTTCATAATGTATTTTACATTTTACAAATAAAAATTGAGATAAATTCACACACCGTGAAATTCACCCTTTTAAATTATGCAAGCAAATGACTTTTAGTATATTCACAAAGTTGTGCAACCATCACTGCAGTCTAATTCTAGAATATTTTCAGGTCCACAAAATGAAACACGGTAACCATGAACAGTCATTCCTCATGCCCCTCCCCCCACCACCACCCTACTGACCACAGGTAATCTACTTTCTGTCTTGAGGCATTTGCCTGTTCTAGACATTATGAATGGCATCACACAACATGTGGTCTTTTTTGTTTAGCTTCTTCCACTTAGCATAATATTTTCAAGATTTAGCCATGCTGTAACATGTATCCGTGCTTAATGTATTTTTATGGCTGGATGATATTTCATTGTATGGAGATGCCACATTTTGTTTACCCATTCATCAACTGATGAACATTTGGGTTGTTTCCACTTTTTTATTATTATGAATAACACTATTATGACCATTCATGTACAAGTATAGTGTAAGCATGTGTTTTCATTTCTCTTGGATATACTTAGGAGTGGAATTGCTAGATCATATGATAACTCTATGTTTAATTTCTTGAGGAGCTGACAAACTGCTTTCCAAAGTGGCCACATCATTTTACATGACCACTGGCAGTGCATGAAAGTTGCAATTTCCCCACATTCTGGCCAACACTTGTTATTTTTAATGTTTTTAAGTTATGGCCATTTTAGTGTACATGAAGTAGCATCTCATTGTGGTTTTGATTTCCATTTTCCTAATGACTAATGATGTTGAGCTTCATTTTCATGCATATTGTCCACTTGCATATGTTCTTTATAGAAATATTTATTCACATTCTTTACTCATTAAAAATAAATTATTTATATTTTTATTGCTGACTTGTAAGAGTTCTTTATGTATTTTGGATATAAGTCCTTTATTTGATGTGTGATTTATAAATATGAAAATATGTTGTTTCTCTTTTCAAATGAAATACCTACCTTGCAGTCTTAATTTTAAATGAGTATACTTTATTTTCTATAAAATTACGTGTATTCAGTCAGGTGTGGTGGCTCACACCTGTAATCCCAACACTTTGGGAGGCCAAGGCAGGAGGATCGCTTGAGGCCTGGAGTTTGAGATCAGCCTGGACAGCATAGAGAGACCCCATCTCTACAAAAAATTCAAAAAAATTTTTTTAATTAAGTGTATTGGCAATAGCTTTGTGTAATTCATTCCCAGTATTTGACAATTTTATATTTTCACCCTACCTTTTCCTTGGCATGATATTAGCATAAATACATATCCATGGGCACACATTAAGGTTTAAGGGTATCTCTTTTTTGCAACAACAAAAAAGTTATTCCTTTTTCAAAACTACTTTTTATTTTTAGAATCATGGGGTACATGTGAGGATTTGTTACACAAGTATATTGCATGAAGGTGAGGGAGCATGGTACCCAATGTATGGCTTTGTATCCCTTATCTCGCCTCCCTCCATGAGCAGTGCCCATGTGCTTAGTTTTAGTGCTCACTTATGAGTAAGAACATGCAACATTCAGTTTTTTGTTTCTGTGATACTTCATTTAGAATGATGGTCTCCAGTTGCAACCATGTTACTGCAAAGAATATGATTTTGTTCTTCTTTATGGCTGCATATATTTCGTCATGTATATATATACCACTTTTTCTATGTCCAGTCCACCTTGGGCATCTGCGTCGGTTCCATGTTTTTGCTCTTGTGAATAACAACGACTCTTTAGATCATTTTAAAATATCTTTCTTTATTTTCTTATCCCCAACCTAACTTACTATGCCATATAATTATTAAACCACAAAGTATGTTGATCAGCATCTATCTTTGAATGTCTTTCTTTATATTATATATATTACATTATAACTGATGCTTAGATTGACTTTCCTTTTAAAATAGAATTGACTAATTTATTAAGAGCCATCTACTGCCTTTCTGTGGGAAGAGCTGTGAGATGGTGAGAACACTCATTCAAGGAAACTGAGCAGCATTCATTCACTTGGCTTCAGATCTCTCTGTGGGCTCAAATTGAATTTTATAATACTTCTGGTAATTCTCACCGAGGGAGAAAGAAAGGCTATGCAATCTAAGTTGTCTACTTAGCTTCATAAGAGATCACTAGCACAACCCAGATTAGGATTAAGGCATTCTTGTCTCAGAACTCTCATCATCTATCTGCATCTGCTCTGTAAAGGGGTTTGTGGTTCAGACTTTGCAAGTGCACTGCTCAGGCACTGAGTATGGAACCAAAGAGAACAGGTCCTGAGCTCCTGGCCTGTATATTTTAGTAAACTGTCATTCCTTGCACCTGAATTAGGCTTTGTAATTAGACTGCTTCTTTTACCCAGTGGTTTGAACTACTTTGCTCATGTAGATTCAGACCACTGCTGAAGGGCGATAATAGCACAAAGAATTATGTTTGCTGATGAAAGACTGAACCTGATTGATTAATTCATATGGAAAATATTTACATATATTTAGTATCTATCAGGCATGATTAGGTGCTAGAAACAAGAACATAAGTATTACATAGTCCCTATCCTCAGGAAACCTTCTACTAGTAGAAATTAATACGTAATAATAATTCCAGTACAGTGAAACAATACTTTGATAGAAGTGTGGGCAGTCCAGTTTAGAAATATCAATCAACTCTGTAAAGCAGAGCATCAGGAAAAGCATTTAGAGGAAGAGATGTGTTTTGAGTGTGCACGTGGGAGGGAGTTTGCCTAGTGGTACCACTGTGGTCCTGCCCCTTTCCATCACTAACTCACTCTCCCGGCTTCTCCATGCTGTCTGCTGTAACCACACTGGCCTTCTTTTACTTTCCAGTTCTTGGCTGCTCCATCAAGCCACAGGATCTTTGCACATCCTCTTGCCTCTCCATAGAATCTTTCTTCTTTTATGTCTTTTAAATCCTACCTGCCCTTCAGACCTCAGCTCATGCCTTTTTTTTTTTAGTCACATTCCATTGGCATATTCCAGCCCATAGTAAAGCAATAAGCATTACTTTATTCAATTAGAAAATATTTCTATTAAATAGGTTGAAATGTGACTGTAAGTCAATTTGAAACTCTAACGCATATACAGTTTTTTTCTTTAACAAATTTATTTCCATTTGGACCTCACTATCTGCAATTGCTAGGTAGATTTTCCTTAAAAAGACAAGTTTCTGCACTTCTATAGACATGCTGAACCACAGACAGACCTAAAGTTTCATTATGACCCTGGGATTAATTTCTATTGATATTATTTGAATATAGAACATCATCCATATTTTGTGTAATAATTCACAGAGCCTGCAACCTGCTGCCTAAAACAATAGCCAGTTATACAGATCAGAATACATCCTATTTTCTGAACTTGAAGTATACTTTGTTTTAAAGATGGGGCATAGCCAGGCTCGGTGGCTCAGCCTGGAGGCTGAGGTGAGTGGATTGACTGAACCTGCGGGTTCGAGACCCGCCTGGGCAGTGAGACCTCATCTCTACAATAAATCAAAAAATTAACCGGGCGTGGTAGTGCGCACCTGTAGTTCCAGCTACTTGAAAGGCTGAGGCGGAAGGATCGCTGGAGCCCAGTGGGTCGAGGCTGTGGTGGCCAGGAGCGGCCACTGCACTCAAGTCTGGGAGACAGAGTGAGACTCCAACTCAAAAAAAAAAAAGATGGGGCAAAGAAAAAATTATACTGTGAGTAATTTAACAAAATGAAAACCTAAAATAAAATATGACTTACACTGCTTTTGGAGTCATCTTGTCACTAACATGGCAATGGTTAATATTCAGTACCAGTGCAGATTTTCTGGTGTAATATAAAGGTGAATTTTAGTTCTGCTTTGTCACTGGTAAACTATGTAATGCTATTTTACTTTCTCATCTGTAAAGTAAGCAATTGTACAATATGATCATTAGGATTCTATGCATCTATGAATTTTTAAAACAGGACTAGATTTTTTTCATCTGTCATATTGTCCAGTAGGATTTGTAGCCTCTACATTGCATGTCAAAAAATTGATAAACTTCTTATATTTGTCAGTGCCTGGGACTTTCCCAATACATTGTTTTATATTAGGAATCCAAAGAAGGAACAGACTACTCCCATGCACTAGAAACTCACTGAAGAGCTGTTTCTATATTATTTTATTTGGTTCTCAGCAATGTTTAAATAGTTTACAAAGGAGAAAAATAGGCTTGGAAAGTTAAATGGCTTGCTCTATGTCACATGATTAGTGAAATGACAGAACTAAAATAAAACCATATCTTCTAACTCAAAGAAGCTTTAAAAGAAAAATAAAATACTGCTGTTGTCCAGGAAAGGCATACAGTCTCACGAAGGGAGATTGCACTAAAAAAAAATCATGAATGTATTTTCAATGTCAATGACTATGTTTGAGCTACTAAAAAAAGATTCCCTTACTAATGATCACTCACAACAGTAATCTTTTGTGCTGTTATTTATGAAAATAAGCTTTAAAAAAAGATTTTGCCTTTCTCTCCTGTGGGCATAACCTAGCTGAACTTGCCTTCTGTGGCTTTTGTGTCTATTTAATTTGTCAGGCCAAGCAGAGGGTTTTTCAATGGTTACAGCCTAAAGTTTGAACTTCTAATTTTATAAAAGCACTAGAAAAAGAATTTAGGGCATTTTTTTCATGTTGTATAAAAATATAACTGTTAAACCCAGTGCAGGATTGTTCTGAATAATTTATATATATATTTATTTTTATTTATATATATATATATATATATATATATATGTTTTACATTTGCCACATATTCAGAAAACCAAAGCAAACTCCAACTGTAGTGCCCATGGGTCTTCTTAATTCCCACCTAGGATTCTAGCCTTGAGAACATGTTTTTTTCTCCATGTCTCTAGTTCAATTGCCTAAAATAAGTCACCAAGGCCAGGAGCAGTGGCTTATGCCTGTACCCAGCACTTTGGAAGGCTGAGGCAGGAGGATTGCTTGAGCCCAGGAGCTTGAGACCAGCCTGGGCAACATAGCTTGTTGTAGAGCTATTGTCTCTACAACAAATAAAAAAAGAATAATAAGTGGGCATGGTGGCACATACCTGCAGTCCCAGCTACTTGGGATGCCGAGGTGAAAGGATCACCTGAGCCCAATAGATTAAGGCTGTGGTAAGCCATGATTGTGCCACTGCACTCCAGCCTGGGTGACAGAATGGGACCCTGACTCAAAACATTTTTTAAAAATTAAAATCAAAACAAAATAAGACACCAGAATGTATGGATATATGTAAGCTAAAATGTATAATATATATATAATATCTTAAATGTTTAAAATTGTAACATTAATATTACAACTACTTTTTGCACAGTTCTTTATAGTTTTGAAATTCAATAGCTTCTCTGAGTTTCACAATACCCTTATAAAGCAATTCTCTATTGTCCCCATTGTACATATGAGGACACAGTCCAAGATAGTAACTAACCTCTCTGAGGTTATGCAGCTTGTAATTTTCAGAGCTAGAAACTAAGGCCAGCATGTCTTACTATGTCCTCATCATGTGGTTCACTATTTACACACAGTAGGTAAGTGAAGTTTTACCATCTAAGCTTTAAATTCAATTGCACCTTGTCTTATATCATACACAAAAGTCAACTAAAATGGGTAAAAGATGTAAATATAAGACCTGGAACCATACAATTTTTAGGAGTGAACACAGGGGAAAACCTCCTTGACAGTGACCTTAGCAATGATTTTTTAAATTTTTGCTACCAAAGCAAAAATAAATGATATTATATCAAACTAAAACTTTTATGCACAACAAAGGAAACAACATAATGAAACAGTAACCTGCAGACTGGGAAAAATATTTGTAAACACATATCTGATAAGAGGCTAATACCCAAAATGTATAAACAACTCAGAAAACAAATAAACCAATTTTAAAAAGGAGCAAAAGACTTGAACAGACAATTATCCAAAGAAAACATAAAAATGGTCAACAGATATATGAAAAGATATGCATCACTAAGCATCAGGTAAATGAAAATTAAAACCACTGTGAGATATCACCTCATACCTGTTAGTTATTGTCAAAAAGACAAAAGATAACAATTATCAGCAAGGATGTAGAAAAAGGGAACCCCAGTATGTTTTTGATGGGAATGTAGATTGTTGTAGTCATTCTAGAGGTTCCTAAAGAAATTAAAAATAGAATTACCATATGATCCAACAATCCTTTTTCTAGGTATATACTCAAAGATGAAATTATCACCTCATAAAGATATTTGCACTCTCGTGTTCATTGCATCATTATTCACAATAGCCAAGATATGAAAACAACCTAAGTGTCCATCAACAGATGAATGGACAAAGAAAATGTGAGATATACATATATATGTATATGTATATATATGAAATACAATTCTAATTTAAAGAAGAAGAGGATTCTGCCATTTGCCACAACATGGATGGATCTGAAGGACATTATGCTAAGTAAAATAAGCATAATCTCAGTGATATATGTAATCTACCAAAAAGGGGTGAAATATACAGAGACAGAATAAAACAATGATTACCAGTGTCGAGGGCGAGACTAGAGGAAATGGGGAGATGAAGGTCAAAAGGTATAAAGTAACAGATATGTAGGATGAGCAAGTGTTCAAGATCTGGTGTACAACACGAGGACTATAGTTAACAAAATCGTATTGTGTTGGGAAATTTTATTAAATAAATAGATTTTAACTGCTTTGTCACCAAAAAAGTAACTATGTAAGATGACATACACTTTAATTTGCTTCCCTGTAGTAACCATTTCACTATATATATGCAGTGCATTCCACAACATCATGTTGTAAATGACAAATATATACAGTTGATATTAATGAATCCTTTTCATTAGGCTGTTACCTGGTACACACCTATTCACTGGAAGCAAGCATATAAGAAATTAGAGACTGACATTGAATTTGACAGATGTTCAGTGGTCACTCCATCGTTGCGAAGGCACATGTTTCAATGGACAGCTTCTACGACTACAATGAGTAAAGAGAAACAAGATCAACGTAAGAAAGATATCTCCAACTATCAGGTGGAACAAACTCAAGGTTTTCTTAAGAGGTAAATGTTTTTTTGTTTGTTTTAATGAGACTTTCCCATAATTAGTACCTAGAGCATGTAAGAATGACTGCATTACAAACAGATATATAATGAATAAATACATTAATGGTGATTTTTTCAAACTACTGTTTTGAATAGGACTCGTGAAAGTCATAAAGACAGAGTGAACAGGTATACCCTCATGGGACAATGAAGGCTAGTGACCTCTTGGTAATACTGAGACCCCCGGCCATTTCACTTTTCACTGGCATTGCTAACAGAGGCCAGGCTGCTGCAGATAGGTGAAGAGGTGAACTGTCCCAAGCCTTTAGCAGGTCTTAGGAGGAGGGAGAACTGCATCACCTAGTGACTTCATCTTGGATCAATTGCTGGCTGTGGACAGAGGTGTAGAATATGCTATTCATTTGTAGACAAATGCTTCTGAGGTTATAATAAAAGTTCTGCCCAGAAGGTCTAGAAAAGCCAGTCTCTTGGATTTGAAATAGACTTTCACTTTAATTGTACCATCAACACTAGTGCTATTGCATAAAATGTCTTTTGAGTTCAATTTGGGTTTTTTGTCTTTACAGAGTAAAGGAAATCCCACCCACTCTTTTTCCTAATCGCAGTCCTTGGTGCCAGAGTCCCTATGTCGCTGCACATCCCTACTCTCCTCTTATTGAACCATATAATACATGTACTACTGGAAGCAGTATGGGTAGACAGCCCAGGTCTCAATCAACCAGGCCTGATCCAGCCCCAGGTAAGTCAAAAGAATACTCATTCCAATGACGAGGAAGGAGTGTGTGTGCGCATGTGCATGTGTTAACAATTAGTGAAAAGGGGTTGATTAAGTGGTAAAACTTACTAAGTATTAAAAGATCTATTCTCAAGAATAGATAGCTCTTAAAGCAAGTATTATAAACCATTCACTTATATTTACTCTAGCACAGAAGTCAAGATATTTCTGTGCTTGTTAAATTTCTCTTGAATGAATCAAACAAACAGTGTGGCCAGCAAGAGTACCTGTGATTCTTGAAATTCACTGAAAAATGCATTTTGTTTTTCATTAGGCAGGAAAAACTGATCTGACAAGTTATGCTGTAGTGAGAAATATCCATCTTTTGCAAACTCACTTTAATATTTAATATCCCAAAGTCTTATTACTTTTCAATCAGAAGTTTCTTAAGTTCTCCAAATAAAGCTTTTAGAGTTGGTATCATTAGCACAGGATCTGTTCACGGATTCTAGGAAGTCCATGAACCTGCTAAATTTGGCACAAAATTGTGTACCTATATGATTTTTTTTCTGAGGACAGAGTTCATGAGATTTATCATATGTTCCCAAATGTCTAAGAACTAGATTAGAAAGAGACAGTACCAAGAAGGAACTAGATTCTAAACTGTTGGAGAAGGCCTTTTTAACACAGCAGCAATGTTCTGGTGAAGTTGTATGATTCACTTATTGAGCAGCATTTGTGAAGCTGTAATGATTCACAAACTTATATTTAGCAGAGGTATGCTTATTTTTCGACAAATGAAATCTTAAGCAGAATCCCAATATATGAAATGCATAAAAGCAGATCTGTCCAAGGTGAGATGGTAGCCATTTACACTGCTCATGACCCCCTTAGTCTTCCTTTCCTCTTTGCTTGTGATCTTTAAGACGCCTCTGTGAAATCATAGGAGTCTCCATAAAACAGTATGAAAACCACTGTGTTAGTATACTAGAACATCCTTGGGAAATAGCACCCCCCCACAATAGTATATTTTAGAAGTAGAAGAGTGGAAATTTTGTAAATTAATGAATATAGACCATTTTCATAAAATTATATTATATATATATATATATATATATATATATATATATGATTTGGGTGTGAAATTTTTTTTGAGTTAGAGTCTCACTCTGTTGCCCAGACTGGAGCGCAGCGGCCGCTCCCGGCCACCACAGCCTCGACCTGCTGGGCTCCGGCGATCCTTCCGCCTCAGCCTTCCGAGTGGCGGGAATTACAGGCATGCGCTACCACGCCCAGCTGATTTTTTGATTTATCGTAGAGATGAGGTCTCGCTGCCCAGGCGGGTTTCGAACCGGCGGGCTCAGGCAATCCACTCACCTCAGCCTCCCAAAGGCATGGGATTACAGGCTGAGCCACCGAGCCCAGCTTGATCTTCCTTTTAAAACCAAATGGAAAACAAGGGAGCGGGGGCGGCATTTGTGACTCCGAGCAGACCCCGTGTGGTGGAGAGAAGGCGGTGGGCGATGGGACCCTGAAACTGGCCTCCGTGCTGCACAGATCTCCCCGACCTTGGCCGAGGGCAGCGGGGAGGGTTTGGGGACCTGCAGCCCGACTGTGACCTTGGGCCAGTGAACTCCGAGCCTCGGCTTTCTGATCTGCTGAATGGGCTGGTCCCGTCGGGCGGGGAATCGCAGGTGTGCCTGCACAGGTGCCCTTGGTGTGGAAGGTCGCCGTCATCTGTCACGGGGTGGGAGGAGGAGGAGGCTGGGGGCTTGAAGCAGGAACGGGACAGCAGAGCTTCTCCAGGGGCCCAGGGCCCGTGTGAGGAGGTGGGAGGGGCAGGGGCTGGGTGGTTTGCACCCGGACTCTTCCCAGACACGTGGGGCCAGGGCACGGGAGACGGAACTGTGGGCGGTCCTCCTGCCCGGACTTCCTGGAGCGCTGGGGTGACAGGCGTGAGCTACCGTGCCCTGCTTGGAGGCCGTTTTCCCCGGGGTCCTCTGTGCCCAGCAGGCTGGGGTGTGGAGGCTCCTGGAGGTGATAGTATCCCCGCTGTGTCCCTCACAGAGCTGGGCGCCTGGGAGGGCCTGGGGTGTCGTCATCCTGACGGCATGCTGAGCCCGGGGGCTTGGCTTCAAAAGGAACACCAGAACACCTGGAAAAGGGAAGAAGCAAGTTGATGCCCACTGGTCGGTTGGCCCACCCTCCACCACCCACCCTTCTATGCACCCATCTGTCCGTCCACCCACCCACCCACCCATCCGTTTGTCCTTCCATCTACCCACCATCCCTCCATCTACCCATCTCCCCATCCGTTCATCTACTCACCCGTCATCCATCTACCTCCCCATCCATCCATCTGCCCACCACCCCACCTGTCGGTCTGTCCGTCCGTCCACCCACTATCCATCCATCCGTCTACCCACCCACCCACCTGTCCGTCCGTCTGTCCGTCCATCCATCTGTCCACCCACCCACCCATCATCTGTCCGTCTACCCACACACCCATCCACCCATCCCACCCATCCACCCATCCATTTTTCCTTCCATCGACCCCCCACATAATCATCCACCC